GATGCTGAGCTTGTCGATCAGAAAAGGTCAGCAGTTCAGCAGTTCGAATCCCTAGCGCCACGTAACAGAGTGAGCTCCCGTTACTTGTCCCAGCTTCTGCCAACCTAGCAGTTCAAAAGCATGTAAAAATGCAAGTAGAAAAATAGGAACCACCTTTGGTGGGAAGGTAACAGTTTTTTGTGCGCCTTCGGCATTTAGTCATGCTGGCCGCATGACCACAGAGACATCTTCGCACAGCGCTGGCTCTTTGGCTTTGAAACGGAGATAAGCACCGCCCCCTAGAGTCGGGAACGACTAGCCCATATGTGCGAGGGGAACCTTTAGCTTTACTTTTAAGCATAATGCCAGGGCTTGGTGGGGTTTTTTGTGGCATCGAAACCACCTATTTCTTTATTTTTAATTTAAAAATATGTTTTGAGAGCATCGTTTAAAAAAAACAGAGATGAACACCAGGAACAACTAGCACATATGTGCGAGGGGAACCTTTACCTTATAGGTATGAGAATCACGAACAGCACATATACCTCTACGTAGTAATTTCCCCCCATCTCTTTCCCCCAAAGTTGTTGAGCGGGGTGGGGATAACCATGCCAAAGAGTTGCCAATGCATGCAACCTTACCTGATTTGTGTTGTTATTTCCTGGTGTTATGTAACCTGATCTTTCAGCATCGCATGCTACTTTTCAACGGATTGCCATTTGTTGGGCAGCTTCACCACCCACCTCCCCTTCATCCCCTCAAGGCAGTGCGTGGGGATAGCAATCACTCCTCCAGTTTTATCTTCGCAACAGTGCAAACATCTGTGCAATAAATTGTACTGGATGTTAGCTCTAGGCTCAACGGATCAGTTTTAAATGGAACTGAACCCCAATCTGAAAAGTCCTATTCCAAGCCGGTTATCCCAAGCTGCAGCTTGATGTTTAACACAGGAAAAGGTGGTGTGAAGCTCTCTTGGTTCAGCTCCATGGATGTTGAGGTAGGAAGGAAAAAGGAGGAAATATAGCATTGCAACCTATCATTGATGATAGGTCTCTCTATAGATGCAAGGAATTGGCTATGGGTTGATTCATCCCATTCCATTATGATACCTTTGGGGCTAACACTTGCGTCACCATTATTCTCCTGATAAGCCAGCACTGGGCAAACCTTTTCGGCACTGAGTGCCCAAACCCGAACATGCATGCATGTGGGTGCATTTGCATGTGTTGGAGCACCAAAACCTTATGACCAGCTGGCAGGCATGTGCATACCTGTTTTGGCCGTTTTCCAGGCCATTTTATAGCCGTTTTGGGGCCATTTTAAGGTCAATTTGGGGTTGCAATTTAAGGCTGTTTTTCAGCGTGACCCGTCAAAACCGCGGACGACAAAAGCGCACTCGACGAAAGCGTGTACCTGACGTCATCAGCAGCGCGACAAAAAAAAATAAAAAATAAATTAAATTAAAATTAAAATTAAATTAAAGCAAGCCGATTCACATAAAGGTAAGGGTTAGGTTTAGGGTTAGGGTTAGGGTTAGGGTAAGCGTTAGGGTTAGGTTTAGCGTTAGGTTAAGGGTTAGCGTTAGGTTAAGGGTTAGGGTTAGGGTTAGGGTTAGGTTTAGGGTTACGTTAAGCGTAAGG